GCTCACCCACCGCGGAGGCCTGCCGGGTCTCCCTGCGGGCAGCTGTGCCCCATGGACGAGCTGAGCCCGCCCCCGCCGTGAGACCGAGACTTCGCGCGTGACCCGGAGTCGTGCAGCCTTTCCTGTAAAGCTGGCCCCCGTCACGTGACGCGGCTTCCAGGAAGGTCAGGGCCGCCCCGACCGGACGTCTGCGAGGAGCGCGACGCCAGAGCGGAGCGCTGCCCGCGGAGGGGCAGGCAGAGGCCTCCGGGTAGCTAGATTCCTCACCTACAGCCCGTGACTTCTAAAAATAATTAGCAGCCCCGTGACATTTAACAGAGACGACTCACTTTTCACTAGCCGTCAGCAAAGCGGAGACCTCCTGCCCGCCCAGAGTAGAGCAGCCCGCCGGAGGCTGCTGCAGGAACCTAATCCCGCCGCCCCAGGATTTCAGCACTGGAAACACAGAAAATCACTTGGAGTGACTCCCCTAAGTGGGCTGTGCCTCCGGGTAGTTAAGACGTTCCGCGCCTTTGATAAAGTCCAGAATCCTTTTGCTAAATTAGTGAATATCAAGGTCAAATTGAAAATTTGCATTTTTCTGACATCTTTTATTTATTCCTAGATGATGAACCATCCGGACTATTCAGCAAATGAAGAAAACCCAGTGCCTGCTGACGAACAGGTCGCCCAGCAGTAATACTGTGCAGACCTGCAGTAACGTGTTCTTGATTTTCTACCAGTAGAGTTTGACTTTTTAAATCAACTTTTGAATTGACATTCTGAAAGCATTTTCAGTGACATGTTTGCAAATATATATTTCTACGAGCTGGTACCGATAATTATAAAAAATTAAAATGCATTTACTTTTAACTATATTGAAGTTGTGCCTTCACATTAAATAAAAGCATATGGTCTGTGTAATTTCCAAGATGTATTATATATACTATATATTTTTAAAAATTCCTTGGCCCACCCCTGGACTTTCTTCACTGAACTATATTTCCTTCAGCTCTAATGACAGATTGACGTGTCACAAGGTTTCTGCACAGATTCTTTTGTTAAGGAATTATGCATGCTGTATCCCCTCTCAAGGAATAACTGCTTAAGACCATGCGAGAAGGCAGCTGTTCAGCAGGCGAGGTGTGGACTTTCTATCATGCCGAGGCTATAAACTTAACTATGTAATTTGGGGATGAATATAAAGGTTTTTATAATGTAAGTTTTAAAAATAACAACCACTTTTTAAACTTGAAAAGTTAAATTATTCAGATGTACTGTGTTTGAATATTTTTTCAGATTCAGAGAAGCATACAGAACTAGGCATATAGCTACAGAACTAGTCATGAGAAGATACAGGAACTAAAATGTGGTTCATAGGAAACCACCGTTTTCTCTTTCTTTTTCTTTTCTTTTTTTTGAGACAGGGTCTCATTGTGCAGCACAGGCTGGTAGGTCACCCAGGATGGGCTCAAACTCTCGATTCTTCTGCCTCAGCCTCTTGAGTGCTGGGATTACAGGCGTGCGCCACCACACCCAGCTACACCACCATTTTCTTAAAGATACAGTTTTGATTTCTGTACTTTCAATTTCACTTTGGTATTTCTCATCTTGAAATTTGATTCTACTGATACTAAACTTTGATCTTTTAAAAAGTGTTTTGTCAGATAATATGTTAACACTTACAGCTCACAGTTTGAGAGTAACATTCTTAGCAATTCCGTACCCTTGCCGTCTTCCCCTAACCTCCACTCCTTTCCCTGTGGGCCACTGCTGCTGACCGTGAAGAAGGTGGTTTCCCAACATGGAAAGTACACACTGTGGGATCTCAGCTTTTTCATCTGCACAAGAAGTACATGAGACCAGTTAATCATGCTGGTAACTTCCAACTTTGAAAAACTTTTTTCTCATTCTTCGCAAAAATCTCAAGTGTGGCCTTAATCATTATCCTTGGAGTCAGAGATCAAGTTATCTTTTCATTTTCTTTTACTTTATCTAAGAAAGTCCCAAATGGCAGGTGATTGCAGAAGCAGCAGGATTTTACATATCTGTGTAAATAATGCACAAAATATGTGAACAGATCTACTCTTGCATCTGAGGACCAATTCCTCGTACTAAAAGACAAAAAATACCCAGGTATGGTGGCACATGCCTGTAATCCCACCACTCTGGGAGGCTAAGGTAGAAGGATTACAAGTTTGAGCCAAGCCGAGGCAACTTAGACTCTGTCTCAACATACAAAAAAAGAAAGAAAGAAGCCGGTTGGGGATATAGCTCAATCCAAAAGCCCTGAGTTCAATCCCTAGTACAAAAATATATATATATCTGTGTGTACTAGTGCATCTCTGTAATCTTCGCACTCTGGGAAGCCAAAGCAGGATGATCTCAGATACAAGTCCAGCCTGGGCAAGTTAATCATTTAGTGAGACCCTCCAAATGGCTGGGCGTGTGGCTCAGTGGGAAGGTTCTGGGTTCAATCCCTGGTACCAAAAAACAAAACACCTAATGCTTTTCAAAATGGATCAGACCTTTGATGTTTGAACTAAATTTAGCATTAAATGCTTTTGTTTAATTGTTAACTTTTGCAGAGTAAATTGCAGATAGTTAATGCGGCAATGGGTCCTTTTGCCTATGGCAGAAAACTTACTGATAAGTAGGAGTTAATCTTAGTTTTCTTCCATTATATAAGTTTGAATTTTTTCCCGAAGAATGAAGAATCTAATATAGTTGGCAGACTCTGATAGAGAGAGAAAAGATTAAGTGCCATTTTAAAACTCCAAGTATATTTTCATTTATAATGTCAGTAGTATGCTTGCCAAAGTACAGCTTTTTTAGTAAAATTATCTGCACTCTCATCTAAGCTTTATCGTAGTCAAAAGCCTTAACCATCTTTTATGAAGAATGTTAGAGTTAATTGGGTTTTTTGTTTTGTCTCAACTATAGTGAAATAAGACAATTTCTCAAAATAATTTTGTTTCATTAATTAATAACTGATACACTTATCCTAGATTTTAGATTTTCTTCCAGGCAAACATTAACTATTATATTTAGAAATCATACAGATTCTACTTTATCCGACCATTAGTTATCAAAGAAGTCAACCTTGGTCTAGTTTGCTATTAAACTCTTACTGATGGGCTGAGGTGTCTCAGAGGGTCTCATGTGTCTCAGACTGCTTGCTTGGTGTGCACAAGGCCCTAGGTTTGATCCCCAGCACCACCAAGAGAAAAAATAAAAAATGCTTGCTGATTCAACAGAAATACATAATAATAAATGAAATTCTTAGAGTCAATCTTCAATATGAACTTTATATTATACTTAAATAATCCTCCTAGTAACCTAGGAGAAAATAGTTATTTAAATAAATTGAAGTACGGCTGGGTGTGGTGGCACACGCCTGTAATCCCAGCACTCTGGAGGCTGAGGCAGGAGGATCGTTGCAAGTTCAAGGCCAACCTGGGCTCCAAAGTGAGCTCAAGGCCAGCCTGAACTGCATAGCGAGACCGTGTCTCAAAAAGACAGAAAGAAAGACAGAAAGACAGAAAGAAAGAAAAGAAAGAAAGAAAGAAAGAAAGAAAGAAAGAAAGAAAGAAAGAAAGAAAGGAAGAAAGAAAGAGAAAAAGAAAGAAAAAGAAAAAACAGAAATATTTTATCTTGGGAGTCACCATGAGCAAAGAATAGGGAAGATGAAAATTAACCCCTCCTTGCATATTTACCACTATCAGTAACTTGAGAGAAGCTGAGTGTTTCTAAACATGTCTTTAAAACACCACAATTCATTGTAGTTATTAATATTGCAAAAAAGGCATTGTTTCCTAGAAAGTCCCTATGAGCATTTCTATGACTTATCAAATAGAAACCACTAAATATCTCAAATTATAATTACATAATTTTTCTATCAGTTTAGTTCAGCAAAAATGAGAGGCTGGTAAAGAAAGACCTTGATACCCTAACACAATTTGGGTTTTTTTTCTAGCTTGTAGATTTTTTACATTATCAGCTCCCTGTCAGTTGAATCTGCAACTTACTACTCTTTTACAAGAAGAGTGTTTTGGCCCATATGGTATCTCCCTTCCTACGTCCTAATCCCACGTCCGTGGGGGTCTCGGTGGGCCACATGCTTGTAATAAGTACCGATGAGCTTTTCCCATTTTCTTTGCTCAGTCTCTGCTTTAGATGTAAACAAAGAGCCTTCTTTATCTTGGACTAAAGATACTTGAACTGCTTCACTTAGGCTTGGTCTCTAAAGGCTTAGCCTGATCTCAGCCAGTGAAATTTCAGAAACGTAGGAATTGTACCTCAGGCTAGTGGGATGCCCCAGTTAGAAGCAGCTTCGTACTTTCCATTAAGAAGAAAAAAGGCTGAGTTTGTTCCAGATGATGCTCAGTGAGCAGCTCTGTGGTTTAAACTGTTAGTGTCCTGTTTGCCTCCGAGGGTGATTCTGAAGGGGGCAGGGTTCGTAACATGCTGAACGGAAATCACTTGATGTTTTCTGGAAGAAAACTACTCTGGATTCGAGGGATCTGAGTCAAATTATCCGCCTCTTTGGAATACGCTTCTCTACTGTGTTAGAGTACTGAGTTTAGAGTTTTTTAAAAATTGACAGAGTAATATATACATTATAAATGTAAATTTCCTGCTGAACGTTTCTTTAAGACAGCCTTTGTATTTGGAAATGTTCATTGGAGAACAAATTATTTTTAAATGAAATTTTAAGGTCACCCATATTATTGGCAAGTAAGGGGCAACTAAAAGACGGTATTTTGTCATGTGGTTCCTCATGAGGCATAAAAAGTATCATAAATAGCTTTTCTACTCCTACGGAGTGTAGACCCTTTTTTAATATCTAAAGCTTATCTAGAGCATTTTCCAGTAGGACAAGTTAATATACATTAGTTTTTGCCATTTTTGTGTTACTTTCTGTTGTGTTTTGCTCAAATGAGAACTGTTTTAAAAATACATGAGTGGATTTTTACCTTTTTTTTAGATGACTGCTTTAAGCATGGGATTTTTTAGATACCTTAATATGTAAGCTAGTATAAATTCTTTTATAACACTACTAGGCTTTATTTTTTATGGAATGTGATTTCAACTTTAAAGTATTTTGAAGTGTTGATTGAGCAGCACCTTATTGATGATGTGCCAATACGGACAAAAAAAAAAGTTTTTTAATGTATTGAGTTCATTGTAGTATTCAATAAATTCTATTTTAAAATAAAAGTTGAATTTGTTTTATTTTGTGTGGTGAAAAAAATGAAAATGACCCAGAAGTATACTTGATCATGGTCACATATCACAAAAAATGGGAAGAACTTAAGAAATTGTGTAATTATTTGGGTCTGACTTCTATTCTTAAAACCCAGATTCCATAGGGGATATTTGTTGGAAATTTATGTTGCCGCATACTGGCACCTAATAAATATTTACGAATGTGCGTAAAGACTGTTGTTTGCAGCTTTGCCAGTGCAGTTCCAGCGAATAACAGATTCCTGCTGCCATAGAACGTGCTTGCTTTGGGGTGGCGATGGGCGTGGCTGCCCCTGAGGGGAGGGGACAGGGAGCCAGGGCAAGGTGTGAGGACATTTCTCCCTTGTGTACTTTTGTGCCTTTTGCTTCTTTTTTTTTTTTTTTTTTTTTTTTTTTTTTTTTTTTGAGACAGAGTCTCACTGTGTAGTTCATGCTAGCCTTGAACTCGCTGTGCAGCCCAGGCTGGCCTCGAACTCATGGCGCTCCTTCTGCCTCAGCCTCCTGAGTGCCAGGATTACAGGCGTGCTGCTGCACCAGCGCCTTCTGCCTTCTCCGTCAGATGTTTCCACTGCATTTCAGAATACAAGTGATCATAAAAATCTGTTCAGTTATTTTCTTCTTAATCGGTATTCATGCCCAGTCAGGGACCACCACAGAGGGACAGACGATGGTTCCACCAAA